TTCAAAAGTTCTGTTAACCACTGTAAATATTTTAAAGGCTTTTCTGAGCTCTTGCTCGCTGCCATCACTTCTCCAAACCCTGCAAGTTGCCAGAACAGGGATTTCAGAAACACTAGCTAAAACATCTTGACAAGCTAAACAGTTTTTAGAACTGGAGTAGGTGGACTTAGCTGACTTCCTGCCAGCTCCAGAGTCTGCACGCTGTCGAGGGAGATAAGCAGCGCAAGCGGAGCGGATTAAGGCTGGTGCCAGGAATCTGCAGATCCTGGGCCTGCTCCCATCCCTGCCATTAGCAGCGCCGTGTCCTGAGCAAGCCCCTCCTCTGTGGGTGAGCTAGGGGCAGGGTTTTCCTATTTCTTTCAAAGAATGTTTATTTTCCTCCATTTCTGAGGGTTTAAGCCCTCAGCCTTATGACCTGCACTTATTCGTGTGCATTTGGCAGATGCTGAACTGCTCACGGCTCTTAGCAGGAATGGACTTGAGCAATGCAGCCTTTTCCAGTTCAGATTTCAGTATTTTATACTTTTATTATGCTTTCCATGAACAACTGACTGAAAAATTTAGCCTCTTTTCATCTCTCTTCAACACGTACTGTGGTTGGCATGAACATCTCCAAAACAGGGAACTTGAGACTTCCTTCTGGTGATGTTATGATTCCAGTTGCATCTCAGTTATACAACAGAAATGCCTAAAAATACAAATTCTCAAATCTTTCTTGCTTGGGCAAACTCAAGAACAGCAGCAGTGATCAATTAGCATTTTTTAGAATGCAGAGTTTAAAATACTTATAGACACCCTAATTTTTAACTCTCTCCTTGCCAAAACATTAACATGCATTTCAACGTGCATCCCAAATTGTATTTTTTTCAATATGCTTTTATTTCCTGAATGTGTGCAGAAGGAATTCAGCATTGACTGATACACTGTTGTGTTTTTGACCCAGACCCTAAAATAGCTTCAAGATTCTTACAAACAGATCAAATCAATTTCTTGGCTTTGAAATTTCTGGCATACGCTGGTTCTCTCTGGATGTCAAAGTGAACAATTTGATATACAGCTCATGTCTCTTCACAGCTTTGAACTATCCATAACTTTCTTTTGGGTTTTAGTAAACACATTTCTTAAAGTCTGTGGCATGTTACTTCTCAAATTCTATCTGTATTACCCAGGGTCTTGTTTCTGTACTCTTTTCTCTCTTAGATTCAGAAATATTTCCCTGTATTTCCATTTCTATTTGCACCTTGATCTATTGGGGTTTTTTGAGATGAGAGAAAGCTGCCAATGGGGTGTTAGGAATAGGATATTTTTTAAAGTGTATATATGAACTTAAACATTCAGAAAAAAAGAGCAGTTTTTCTTCCATGCCTAGATATTAAACATATTTGACAACTGAAAAAATAGCATCAGTGGCAGAAACTATTACACTCCAAGAGCAAAGTCACAAATTTACCTGCTAAAATGACTTCCTTACTCCAGTTATCTCCCTCATCTAAGTTGAGAAAACTCCTCAAGGAAGTTCACCTGCTTATCTGAGCACTTTGAGAATCCCAAGAGCCAGGAGAAACCAGAGCTGTATTTCCAGCTGGCTCTCTGTGCCTTGCAAGTGATGTTTAACAAGCCAAGGATTTTCCTTTCTAGGGGCACAGCAAGTTATGAAAGAGGACACTTGGCACCTTCTGAAAGAGAAGGTTTTCCTTTATCTGAAATGGACCCTCTGACACTTTCCTGCTTCTTATCTGACACCTTCTTCTTTCATGGTCTTCCATTTTATCTTGTGACAAAGCCACGTGGTTCTGCTTGATCCCACTTGAGTTTGAAGATGGCAGCCAAGGAAATACCAACCCCTTGTTTTTTCTCTTCAAACATGCCATCAGTTCGTGAACAAAGACAACCAAAAACTCTACCCCTAACCTTGACTATGTTTTAGAGGCTACTAAACAAAACATGCCAACAAGAGAAACTCAGGCTAAAAATCTAAAAATAGAAAGTATCTTTTTTTCCTTGATAAGCCAGAAACCAGTGTAATCTGACTGGCAAAAAAAAAAAAAAAAAAAAAAAAAAAAAAAAAAAAAGCTTATCTTGTTCATTTCATGCTCATGCTACAGTTGATCCACTTAATTATTTCTACCATCATACAGCCCACTGATGCTTTTTTTCTGCTTGGAAAAAGTGTCAGTGTTACAGGAGAGAGATTTTATGTTCAGAGGGCCTTGGATTAGAAGAACAATCATTTTGATATTGGAAATTCATCTTTGGCACCAGACTGCTTTTAAGCACGTAAAAAATTTTTATGCTGACTTGTGTCTGTGTTACAAAATAATTTCAAACACTGGGATGGAAACAGATGCTATAGGCCAAAGAATGAAAACTGCTGGTTTAGGAAAAAAACATCTTCCAGTGTTACTAGAAAACAGAAGAAAGCACATGGCATAATAGGTCAGTTTAATGGCATTGTTTGCAGTAAAGCTGACATTTCAAGCATAATCTGCAGTGCTCACTTGAAGTAGGACATTTTGCTGGGCAAAGAAGGATTTGATACGTTCTTTTATATTGCTGTGTCAAATTGGATTAGAACACAATAAAATGGAGAATGTAAAATAAAGGCCTTTGGGCTCGCTGCTTAGGAGTGTAATAAGATGCACAAGGAATTAAAATGAATTGTACTCTTCAGAAGTATGTCAAACCTGTCATGTGCAGTTTGTGTGGAGCTTCCCTTTTTCTCATTCATTTCCTAGGAATATCCTTCCTGTGTGCACTTTCTGCTGACCTACATAAAGTGAATTCCCCTCAGTGACTTTGCCCAGCATTCTTCTGTTCTTCTAATTATTATCTGAAACAAGACGATGTTCAAATATGAATTATTGAAAACCTGTTACAGTTGATACAGTTTTGGTTTCCAACCATAAAATTCCCAATGGGGCTGAAAACTTTGCCAAAATTTCTTTCTGGAGCTGCCTGCTGGCCTGGAGAGCAGCCACAGGAGGATTCACTGCAGCACTGAGTAGCCCTGGGTCAGGATCCAGCTCCTGCTGTCAGGCTGAGAGAAATCTCAGCTACACAGACAAGAAAATGGGCTGAAACTTGGTTTCTTAAATGATGCGTGGAGTACTTCTCATAACCTCATTGAATGAATTCTAACCTCTGAAATTTGGGAAATGTTAATTGGTAAGCCGGGTACTCCACATTTTCGTTTATCTGCTACTCTTATCTCGGAACTCACATTACCCAAAATTGGATGTGTCTCCTATGTGCCATGAGTCACTTGCTTTGAAAAGGCCCCTGTTAGCTGGAAAGCCAGTGACAAGTCTAGATGGCAGGGCTTGTGTTCTGTTTGGATAAACAGGGTTACACTTCATGGGAGAATTGGTATCAGGAGGAATTAATAAATGACTCATGTTGCAGTCCTGAATTTCATTTCAGATATTACAGAAAATCTGAATGTAAACGATATGCTGCATCACTTTTGAAATTTGGAAGAAGTGATTCAAAAGAAAATACCAGAGCCAATCTTCTTCCTAAGTTAAAGCAGGGAAAAATGACCTGTTCACATCAAAGCAGCCCCAGTGTGCGTGCACATTCAGCTTTCAGTTGACTGTGAAAAATGAAGTTGATCTTTGGACACTTAATGCTGTATGAAGGCAGCCTTTCACTTGCAATGACTGTCATCTGCTCTGTCACATCCTTACTTTTTCCTTGCAGCTGAGAAGCAGTAACTTCTCCTACAAAAGCCAGGTTTATCCTTCCTGACACCAAATGTCCGTGCCCCTGCCCTTAACCCCCCAAGCTTGTGCTGCTGCTGCACTTCCATCCTGCTGTGGGACAGGATTGTGCAGAGATTTCTCCTTAAGGCTAGGAAAATATCCATTTTCATAAAGAAATTTCCAAGAAAAAATAATAAATGAATCAATTTGGTCTTTCATACGGCATGTTACCAGACCACAGAGGTATAAGGTGAGGGTCTGAATTCAGGCAAGTTATTTGTCTCAGAAAATCCTTTCCTTTTCAATGACTTCTTGTTCTCAGCTAAGCAGATGTTTCAGTGCTTTCCTGAGCCGAGGTCTAACAAACTTACCCTTTGATCTTACTGCTAATGATGTCTGCTTTATTTGACTCTAAAATGTGCACTGCACTGGAGTGTGGTTTGACACAGCAAATGAAATGTTTCATGACACTTGGCACTGGTGGCCTCACCCCTGTGGATTTCTGCAGTGTATCATTCTCACTGAAGGTCTGTCCTCCCGAGGATGTGTGGGATTCATCTCCAATGGCACTGCAAGGGGGTTGGCTCCTGCTCCGAGTAGAAAGCTCCTTCTTTTTTTGGAAGTAATTTCCGTGATTTTATACCTAATCCCTGTTTGGATTCCTGCACAGAACTTGATAACAGAGGCTTTGAAATACAGACTTCTAAAATACATTCCTCGTTTCCCTGGGAATATAGTGATGCCAAACAAAGGGTTAACCAATTCAGTGTGTTAAACCATTCACTGCTTTCATGGAACAGCACTGTCTGAACTCTGTTTGGCTGGATTGTAGCTCTGGGGTTTTCTGACTTTATGAGAATCAAGTCTTCAGTCTTTTGAAGAACCGAAGATTGCTACATAAGAAATGTTGAATCTGCAGTTCTGGCTGATTAGTGTGCTGTAAGTAACATAAAAAATCATGCAAAACAGGAAGACAGGCAAAATAAGAAAAGTAATATTTCCTTAAGTAAGTTTCAGATTAAGTAAGATTAAAACATTCTCCAGCATTTCTGCCCTATCAGCAGGGCAGTGACTAAACCCAGTGTCTCCTACATAAAACATTCTTTAATATATCCAAAGAACAAGAAATGAGGACTGAAAATGTACTGTCAATTTCCCAGGATTAAGGTCAAAGCTTGAGAAAGAGAGAGAATAGAGTATTTTCCTTCACAAATTCAACAGACAATTTCAGTTTTAATCAGATTAGGGAAATAAAGTCGGAAACTAATAAAATTCAAAAAGAAGAATTATAATACTTACATTGGTGACATATTCAATATCCTTCCAAATATTACATTCCCTGGGAAAATCTGCCAAATCTAAAAAATTATCCACTACCACTTGGCCAATCAAGTCGTGCCTGGAGAATCTGTCAAAGTCATACACAGAGAAATGGAGTTTCCTTGTGTTGAGATCATTGTAGGGCACAGTAAATAAAAAAACTTCATCAAACACTGGATTTAGGGTCTTTCTGTGCACTTTAGTCTGGTGCTTTGTTTTCCTGTCGGGGAGCAGATAGATCTTCACGTAGGGATCCGAAGTTCCAGAGAAGTCCTTGGCGGGCAGGTTGACGGCCTTGTGGATCTTCACTATCAGCTGCTCCAGGTCACAGTCATACTTGAGGATGAAGTTGAGTTTTCCACAGGCCTTGCTGTTGCTCCTGCGGCCGTCATCCGTGTCCAGGGATCTCTGCTTGTACAGCTCGGGCTTGATGCGGCCGATGCCCGTCAGCTGCTCCTGCTTCTGCACCTGCTGGATGTTGAAGTCAGGGTTGGACAGGTTCAGCTGCCTCCGGAGCGAGTTGTGCCTTAAAGCCAAAGGGAAAGAATTGAAACAGGCTGTGCACACACACGCTGAAGATCCCGCTCACCTTTGGTGTTTCCATAACGTGGGGTCGGGTTTTTGACAAAGGGATGAACCAGCTCAGCGTTTGTGAGAGCTGACCTTCAGTGTCTGTTCCCATGTCTCAAGCTGGGCTGAAATGGTTTGCTGATCACCCCAACAACTGTTTTCCTTTTTCCCTCACACCTGATGTAATAAACTCTGTGGTACTTTAGGCTGAAAAGCTCCTTCACTTTCATTAGCTGAGGATAAGAAAGTTGCTTTTAGCTTTAATAATTCACACTTACTGTGACTGAAATTTCTCCCTCATGGATGGTAACAAAAATCAAATTTGCAATCCCCGTTGAGGTGGGGAGATGTGAAAGTGAAAGCAGAATTAGGTAAAAGCCTAATCTTCTATGAGTTCCATTTTATTGTCCTATTCATATGCAGCAATCACTCAGTGCATTGGAGCACCAGGAGCTCAGGTTGAACACAGAAAGAGCATGTGGAAAATGCCAGCACAGGATTAATCCAAAGCTATCTATATTGAATGTAATCAGCAAGAGTTCCTCTGCTATAATTGTTCATTCATTCCTGGTAAATATCTGTTTACCCATGCTTACAGCAGGAACAACCTCATATATGCTATCCTAATTTTTTTTTCTCTTGTTGCATAATAAATACATAATCTTATGACTCTACATTAGTCATTTCCAGGATAAAATATTATCATGTCACCAAAGAAAAAAAAAAAATTCAACCCTTAAGCTCCTCATGGCAGTGAGAGGCACGGAATATCCTGTGGAGGAATAAAAAGAAGAGGCTAGCAAAGAGCCACTGGGCTAGTGCTGTACCTTCTCCAGCCGAAGTGCATCTGCTTTGACTCAGATATTTACTGGCTCTTCACATGCTGATCCTTATTCTTGCTGTATGAAACATAATCCTTTTTCCACCTGCCCCTGCACACACTCTGAGCCTCCCCCTTTCCTCTTCCCTCATGTACTGGTTTTCCAGTTCCCCTGGAGACTTCACTGGCTTGTGTTCAGTCACTCTTCTCCCCAAAGTCATGATTGTGGCTAAAACCTATGAGTTTTTTAATCCTATTTCTAACTCTTGCAAGAGTTTCATTAGCCTGCCCTACTTTTCTTTGGAAAAATCTTTGAGGAGATATTACTGAGTGTTCAGCACCAGTGCTAAGTGCAAATGAATATGCTTTACAAGCTAAATGTACGCTGTACTGGTGCTTTTAAAGGATGCAGGGCTCTGTGTTATCCAGCTCCTGAGGGAAAAGCACCAATGAGACAGTAGTTGCGATGTCTTAGCATTTTAGCTTTTATATTTTTCATATATTTGTAATCCTGCAATTCTTTAGTGTGTAACTCTAAACTCTATATTAAATGTTAGCTACTGTTCTCCCAGTTGGGTCAGGCAGAACAATTCCTCTCCAGGCCTGGGAATCAAGGACATCTCACTATCTCAGGCCCCAAGAGATGTAAAAAAAGTGAGTTAGGGGCAGCAAACTGGGAGTACATGGCTTCAATACCTGAAGCTGTAATTGGAAGATTAACCCCCAAAATGCAAATGGACCAAAATTATAAAAGTATGAAAACCTGTGACCTGTCATCCATTTTGGGTATAGGCCCTGAGGAGGGCTTTATCTGCCCAAAATGTACCTGAAGGCCTGCCAATAAATATAACCGCATTTTAGTCCCTTAATTTTGTCTGGCCTCTGTTTTTAGGTAGTCCCAAAAAGGCACCAGTTGTGAGAAGAGTGGAACAGGATTGTGATACAGTCGCTTTGACCTGCAAGGTTTGTTGGGAAGGATGAAAGTTTGACAAGAAAGTCTCACAGATATGTGTGCTTAGCAGAAAGATTCTTAACTGTAGAGTTTGATGAAGGAATAGAGTTGGAAGCAAGTTTTGATATAGAAGAAAAGAATTGCTGAGCCACTCTTACTGGATAACCAAGGAGGCAAAGGGTGTGTTAGTTAGAAGGGGTTTTTGTGGCTTAGAGCAAAGGATAAACCCACCCCAAACAAGAAGATGTTTGTACCAAGCAGGAAGAGAGCACCGGCAAACAAGCCTGTTGATGTGGCAAGTAGAAAAAAGGTCTCAGAATTTTCCACTGCAAGAAAACTGAAAAACAACTTCTAGCTTAAACTGTAATGTACTGACTTTTAGTGATTGGAGAACAGTAACATGAATATGGTAATTACAGTAGTTATGATGGGCTGTAGAAATAGTTAAGGTATAGATTGGTTCTGCTGTATTAAGATGCTCAGCAAAGACAAGTATATAATGCATTGTAACCAAAAGAAAAGTATATAATGCAATGTAACCAAAACTACAGGGGCTCCAGGCCTGCCTGCAGCTGGAGCTGACAGCTGTGGGCACAGCTCTGTCACCCAGCACCCTGGACTGCTGTAACCTCTTGGATGGAATAAATTGCATTTTGGAGAGCTGCCTGGAGTCCCACATCCCTCATTTTGGCTCTTACAGAGGTTTGTGCCCCTCAGTGAACAACTTCTGTATATATATATTTTTATATATATATACATATGTCGCAGACATCTTTTATGAAAAATCCTTTCTTTAGGATTTTTCCTCTTGAGAAGCTGAGAGGCCTCAGGAACAAAATGTAAACATTGATTATCTGCTGCTGTGGAATGCAACAAGTAAATCTTTGATTGGCTCATATTAGATGTTTCTAATTAACAGCCAATCACAGCCCAACTAGCTCAGACAGAGTTTGAGACAGAACATTTGTTATCATTCTTACTTATTCTACTCTTAGCTAGCTTTCTGAAGAATACTTTTCTTCTATTCTTTTAGTATAGTTTTAATGTAATATGTATAATAAAATAATAAATCAAGCCTTCTGAAACATGGAGTCAGATCCTCGTCTCTTCCCTCATCCTAAGACCCCTGTGAACAGCATCACATACATATAAAAAAAAAAATTAATATATATTTTTAAAGGAACGTGGCAAGCAAATTAAACCCTTTTTCCGATCAGCGTGTGCCGCGCTTTATTGGGCCGTATTCACGAACAACGGAGACGAATGGGAGCTACTGACCGTGCCGACGAGGTGGGCTCGGTGGTCTGGCGCTGCATGCGCACGTTGGGCACGCAGTTCTCCTTGTCCCCCGCCTGGGTGTCCAGCGGCAGGTCCGGGGAGGTGTGGCTGATCTTCATGGAGGCCTCGGGGAAGGCGGCGGGCTGCCCCAGGAACTCCTCGCTGTAGTCGCGCTCATTGGGCTCCGCGCCCGCGTAGTGCAGCGGCTCCTGCTTGCTGTCCTTGTTCCCGAAGGGCAACCCCCGCTCCCGCCACGGGATCCAGCACAGCTTCCAGGACACGAACAGGGACACGCCGAACAGGGCCAGGCCGCAGGCGGTGACAACCAGGGACAGCAGGCTGATGGAGATGTCTGCAAATGAGAGAAGCGCATCCCTGTCACTCCGCGTCTCCAGAGCGCCAACGCGGAGCCCAGCGCCTCTGGGCTGCAAATTTGCTTTCTAATTTCTAATTCTTTCCCCCCAAACAGCTTGGAATTCAGTAAGACTACCACTATAGGACATGAAATAACCCAACGCGGCCACGCAGCTTTCTCAAGGTGAAGAGAATTTTTAGTTTTTGACTCTCTTGGAGTTTAGTTGTTAATTGCTGCCCCAAGATGTGCGAAAGGTCTCTGTTTCGGCCTGAGCGTCTGAAGAACGAGTCAGAGCTCTTCAGTTTTCATTCTTAAGTTGTTTATTAATTCTTATCTATTAAATTTTCTTTCTGCCCAGTCAAGATTTGCTCAGGCACTCTGACCGCCCCCAGGGCAGTGTTGTCTTTTTATACTACAAACTACGTATAATGTATTTACACTTAATTCCCAATACCTATCACCCATGTTAGACAGTGCACTTCTACTCTAAACCAATCCCAAAGTGCCAACATCACTGCAGAAAATGGAGAAGAACAAGAAGAAGAAAGGCTGGATATGCCCAGATTCCTCCATCTTGTCTCTAAAACCCCCATTCCAAAAATCCTAACATCTACATTTTCACCCTGTGATAATTTTATTATTATACTATTTAAACTTCTGTGACCTTCAGGTCCTCATACAAAGCTGGTAATTTGCTCCACGGGTCATAATCAAATCTCCAGGTGTTCTGGGTTGCATGCCAGGGTCTCTGAGCCCCCTGGCAGGGTCCTTGGCAACTCTGGACACCTGGAGGGATGAACTGAGTTCTGGCATGACTCCAACATTTACAAATTTCTAAAAGTGACAGTGGATTGGAGAGTGACAGTGCCACCTCTCCAATGACACTGGACAAACCAACAGTCTATCAAATTTCTTTTCTCCCACAAAAGAATGCAAAACAATAAGATGTTTACTGAAGGCATGTGAGAAAGTTCGTTACAGGAATGTAAACATCAGAAGGCTTAGAAAAACTTAAAAAATCAGGGCGACATAAGACTTGAACCTAGCTTAAAATTACCCTCCACAAACTGGGTGAGATGAAAGGTCATTCTAAATCTGAAAAGGGTTGTTTGCTTGCTCACTCGACTTCTTGTTGATGAAAAAGCTGTGCCTGCAGTACATTTTATCTTTTTGGGTTTTTTTTTTTTCTTTTCATATAGGGCATGTCCTCCACCTGTTTTACCAGTTCTTACTAGCTTCTCTTCCAGAGCCTGTATTAGGCTTAAACAGCATGAAAATATGCACACAAGCACCTCTGTGACATGAATTTTTAAAGTATTTCACTGCTGTATCTTGGTTTATTATTTAAATTCCATTCCATATAATTTTAGACTCATTCCTATATTTGCAAATTATTTTTGACTATGAATGCATGGCTTGCTCTTCGTAATTTAATTAGGATACCAATATATCTTCAAAACTGAGGTTTTACTGGATTTTTTAACTCCAAAGGTTCTTTCTTTTCTTTTTCCAAATTTCTGGTATAAAAAGGAATGTGCAGATGAGTTGTCTGTTGTTTTTCCCCACATTTCCAGCATTATCCTACTCCATCAACAGAAATAAGTTACTGGGAGTGGGTTTTGCTATGTTTTGCTTTAAGTTGCAGGTTGGGAAAATGACTCAGTGGAACAGCTGGTTTTGTGGTTACAATGTTTTTGAAATGAATCTCTATGTGGATTACACAATACATCATGCCTTGAACACAATTAGTGAGAATTCTATTTTACTGCCTTAAATTATAAACACAAGCTGATCAAAGCAATTTTTCACACTGTGTGTAGGTTCAGAGTGTCAGGCTGCATCTCTCTAAGCAAACAGCCAGCCTGAATTCTCAAAGGATGGCAGAAGGTTGAAATGTACTGCTTCTACTAAGACAATTATTTAAAAATGACAATTCAGATGAAACAGCCCTGGTCCATTCCAAAATAAAAATAACATTTTTTTTAAAAAAGGGGAAAAGTCAATACCTTCTGCCCCTGCTGTGAGTCTCATTCTCACCAGCCAGACAGATTAAATTTCCACAGTGGGGGGAGTGACACTGCAATCCATTTCACACAGGAGCTGTCCGGTTTATTTTGCATGCTGCAAACCAATTTCAAACTATTTTAGCCAGCATGGCCCTTTCTGTCCTTCTCCCAGTCATATCAAGGCAAAGCTCATTAAGAGTGGGGACAGCACAGCAGCTGCTTGGAATTAGAGCAAAGAGTTTTTTTAGAGCTAAAATTAATTAAAGAAATTCCTCCCATGCATAAAAGGGAATTTGGGAGAGAGTGGAATGGTAGTTCTTGATAATTTTTGAATATTTATTGGTAAACAAATCTGGCAGTGGAGGCAGAGCACAACTCCTTTTTGATTAAAAAGCTGAGGATCAAGGATGAAGAAGTGAAAGACGGCCTTTAGAATAAAGTAATTTGTCTTGGATTCCCTGGAGAAGAAGCAAGAAATACATGAGAGGTCTGCAAAAAGGCCATTTCTGTCAAAGAACTGATTCAATTAAATGACCCAGCATTGAAAGAAATGAGACCTTTGGAGTTATCAGAAGCAGCCAGAAGATTACAAGGTGAGAACAGAAGACTGCCCAATGATAAGGGTGTGTGAATATGAAGGTGAGGAATAATTTGAAAAGCAGACCAGCAGTCCCCTACCCTACCTTGAAGGTGACTTTAGCAGAGAAGGTTTTCTAGAGAACAGACACTGAGAGAAGGAAAAGATGGGGGCAACATGAACTGTTTTTCATTTGGAGAGTCTGGGGGGCTTTAATAACATCTGTAACACCATCATCTCACAGCTTGCTTGCAGAGAAGCTGGGCAGTAAGCAGTGCAGTTCACAGCAGGAGAGGGGAGTGTTTATCCTTCATCCCGGCTTCACTTCTTCCTGACTCCTTTGTGCCAGGAAGAAGTTTTTGTATGAAATTCTTGTTTCTGTGGGTGGAAAAGAGACCATCACGGATCCATCTTGCTTCTGTGGAAGACAGCAGACTAAAGGGTTGTGCTCCTAGCTTTTCCCTTTCATCAGACAGTAATTTTCGCATCCTGTGTGCCTGGCGGGCAATTTTCAACAACAGTGCAGATCCATGGTGAACATCTGAGGTGAGCACAGTCCCACGTGAGGAGATTTTTGGCTGCATCCCTGAGCTGCTTTGCTATTCGCCACTTGTGCTGCTCTATACTGTATTTTCTGTGTAATTTTTACTCCATCTCTCCAGATGTCTCAGTTTTTCTAAGCCTGTTTAGCTGTATTCTCCTGTGGTAGCAGTACTCATCTGATGCCAGTGATTTCCCCTGCTTTGTACTGAGAGCAGGGTATGGCTTTACTACTTTGTCCTCACAGAAATGAGATCTGCAGCACAGAAAGTGCTCCTCAGAAACCCCTCTGTGAATGCCATGATGCCAGCCAAGCATCTTGATATGAATCCCAAGTCAAAATTTCATAGTTTTACCTTTGTCATCATGGCTGCTCTAAGAGCTGAGCTCCCAAACTCCAGCATGTCAGAATACTTGGATGATAGCATATTGATTAGGGCATGCTGCTGCTGTGGACAATGTGTTCCCCTCTAGCAAAGGAGGCCTCTGAACAGACAGAAAACAAGAGGACAGACCTTTAGGGTGGCCCCAGATGAAACATTCTTGAGATTTGGTAGCTGTCTCTAATCCTTTGTCTGTTGAGGCTGTGGCTTCAGTGTTAGAGGACTCGGGAGGCACTGCCACCATTTCCATGCAGCTCCAACCACCAGGAATTCAGCTATGGTTTCCAGGAAGGACAGAGGCTCTCTGAATATCCTACTCATGGAATTTTCTTACAGATACTCGGATGCAATTATCAATTTTTGACAAGGTTTCCATGTTTCAATCCCTCTTATTCTACTGAATTCCAACTCATTTATCTACTATGCTTATCAGCATAATTTTTTCTGGTTTTTTTAATCTGTTTGTTTTGTTGTTGTTGTTTGTTCAGTTTTGGTTTGGTTATTTTTTTCTTGTAGCAATCACAAGGTTAAAAATGATGTGGAAATAGCATGCGAAATTGAGTTTTCTACCTGTGGATCACACCATCAATTGTTACCACAGATTGGAGAGATGAACTTTCTTTCTGTAACAGATTTTATTACAGTCAGTGAGATAAAAAAATCCTCAGCCCTTTTATCAAAAAGACTCAGTCTGGTCATTGCTGAATGCTGAATCTTTTTACATTTTTTTACTTACATTTTAAACTAGATCTGTTACACAGAAAAGAAAAATCCCACTTTTTATGTCAAGGATTGTATGATAGGAATATAAATTGCCTTGTCTTCAGATTCTCCTATTAAAGAGAATCACAGAACCTTTGGAGAAGGGACCCTGCAGATCATTTAGTTCAACACTCTGCCCAAGCAAGGTCACCTCACACTGAATATGCCCTGATGAAATTTCTCCAAAGATTCAGACCTCCCCAGCCACTGTGGGCAGCCTGTTCCAATGTCTGAGAGCCACCAAGTAGGTTCATAGCTTAATCTCACTTTGGCAGGGATGAAATACTAAGTGGGTAACATTTTTTAGATCACAATAACCAGAATTTAAGTATTGTTGCAAGACATAGCTGCAGTTTGCAGCTTATCTAGTAAAAAAGGAAATTAAATGATGCTTCTATTTGTATTTCAAAGGTTTTTAGTATAGATCCACTGAACATAAAGTTTTATACTGACTTTGAATAAAATCATAGATTGTTCTAGAAGAATTTGAATTGTCTTGAACTTTTACATAGATGGTGCATGAGTGTTGTGTAGATAAGATTATTGTGTAATGATTCCATTCAAATACTGACAGTACCACATTGCAAACCTGTGACTTGTTTTTCTGGAATAAAAGGTTGCTCTTTACCCTCTAAAACTCTGATGCTGAAAAATCTCACCAAAAAATCAGACAAGCAAAACACACAGAAATGTGTTTGTCTTCTCATATGTGAAACAAGGATTGAAGTA